AAGCTGCTTCTGCATTGCTTTTCTTGGCTAAATTCAGACAGATATAACCAAAATTAGGATTCAGAATCAGCTGTTTTTTTATTTCGGTCCCAAAAACTTTTCATTATTCCGAACCCCTCAAACAATAGCTGATTCTGAATAATTCCCCGAAAACTTTTCATTAATCCGAACCCCTCCATTAAAAAGGGTGCCACATTAGTCTGTTCATGTCGGATTTAGCTCTAATGCGTACCCATATATATTATGTCGTTGAGGCCTGATTGAGCTCTAATACGACCCCCTTTATTAATCCGAAGTTGACATTACCGGCCGAGGGCTGTACCTCGATCCAAAGATTCAGAGGGTCAGTACTTCGGGTTGGAATCCGCCCCGGGAAGTTGTACCACGCCATGCTCAGCACCAGAAAAGGAAACGTGCGAAGTTGCATCGTGCTGTCAAAGCCAATCAAGGAGCTGCCCACTAGGGTTCAAGGCGTCTTTTCCCTGATCTGAGACAAGTGGGTAAGGCTTGTTAGATGAGGTCCGGCAAGTTTTGTGGGTGCCATATGGGGCGCGGGAGCATCCCTCCTCAGAAGCTGGACCGTTGGGGGAGGGGTTGAGCATCAGGGTCATCAGGGTTTCGTGAATGTGGAATGATGCGATATCATGGAGGATCTCCAAAAACAGCATTTTGGGCGGCCGACTCGTGCTACGTTGCAACTGCTGAGCTATCCTTAATGGCGAGATTCAGCGCATGAGAGCTGGAGAAGTAGATGAGGCCCAGGATGAGGCAATCATCCAGTGTCTTGTGCTGGGTCTCGCTGGGCAATTTGCGTTTACCACACAATTCGCTGACTGGATCCCACCCTCAAGCCAACACTGCGGATGCACTGTGGAGTTTCAAGCCTTGAGCAAGTCAACAAACCAGGCTTCAGTAGGCAAGGATCAACGCAAAAGACTCCGGCAACAAGCTGAATTCTTATGAACCTTGACGCGGCCGCGCACCTCAAGCGTATCCAGCCAGGCCGCCCCAAGGACAACGCCTCGGACAACGCCGCGGCGGGCTCCAATCTGCTGTGCTCCGGACGTCAGAGACTCACTTCTTTGGAAATGGCTGGCTAGAGATCCCCCTTCAGATACTGTTCATGAAGTGGCCCGGGGTACCCTTTGTTTATGAAATGAAATCCATGCCATGACCTGACGCTGCTCCCCCCCCGTTTCGTTAAACAATACCGATGGCACACCCACCCCCCAAATTTATGAAATACATTTTTTGTTTAGTTGGGGGGGCTACCCTCCCTTTGACACTTATTAAGGGTGGGGGGGGTACCCAAAATGTGGCGGGAACATTGTACCTAGCACTGGTGCCTGGATCCCTATGGGTTCATAACTCTTTACACAGAAGAACAAAGATAGACCAAAGATATGAAGGGCATTGAAGGGCTGAAAGAGGAATAAGGAGAGCACGTCCATAAACAGTAAAATACAGTGTATGGGTATGTGTGTATATATATATGTGTGTGTGTGCCACCATGCGTGAGTTTTTCACTCTACACCTCCCTCGTACAAGCGCTTGGCAGTGTATATGTGTACCTAAGCCCTGTATCCTGGACCCTAAACGCCAAACCCGTTGGCAGGGCTGGCTGCTTGCGAGCTGTACAAGCACTGGCTTCCCGAATATGTTTTCTGGAGTATAACTAGTGTTGCTGCTGTTGGGACGCCGTACATGTGTCTTGATGGATGCTTCCCGGTGAGAGTTGTGAAAGTTGTTCGTTTGAACTCCTTCGCGTAAGCGCCTTCTGGCTTGCAATGGCAGGTTGGAAAAAGGAGCTGTAAAACAAAAAACCCGCAAACACAAACCCTAAGAATATATATGGATGTATATATATATATATTTATGCACACAAGCACACATCGCATTGTGCTGTTTATGGGCATGCATTTCTTTATTATTCTTTCAGCCCTTCATATCTTTGATTTATCTCTGTGCTTTTTTGTTTTCTTGTGTAAATTGCTATCAAGCCACTAAAGCCCACTAAGTTACCACTAAGTTACATATATATATATATGTGTATAGACGCCACCCCCTTCCTTTAATAAACCCACGAAAAGTAAACCCACAGACACCACACCCTAAAAAATGCAAAAAAATGAGGTTCATGTGGAGTGACTGCTTTTATAAACGAGTTCTTTCATAGGGGCAGCAAAGGCTACCCGCCCACCCCCCCATTTCATATTCTAGAATGGGTGTGGATCCGTCACTGTCAGAACTTGAAGAGGGATGGCTAGAGAACGCCTGAATCTTCAGCATCTCCCGAACTGTCGGTACAGACCATAGTTGTTTTAGAATTAAGCGCAAGCCTCCTGCAACATGCAGAAATCTAGCCCATAGCTGCTGGAGGTAAGCGGCGAAACCGGACTCATTTTCAGAAGCAGACCCAGAAACCAAGACACAGAGGACATCAGGAAACAGCTGGGATAGATTTCGCAGCCTGCAGCGCCCCAAGAGAGATCCGTGGAAAAGCATCAACTTTCAGCGTTCACTGCTCCCAGGCCTTTGCGGTGTGCAACGTAGAGAAGTGCAGCTGCGTTGAGGACAATGTGTGACCTTGCTCGCAAGACCTGACAATATTGCCCGCAATGGCCCAAGCTAGCTGGAATTTGCTGAACCCCTGAGTGATACGGATGCGATGACGACCATGCGCGGTGGTTAACGAGATAAGCTACTTTAAAGAGCAAGAGAACAGCCAAACCAGGTCGCAGGCCCTTGCTGTAGTAAAAGCCTTGATGTTACTCTTGCAGAACCGCAAACCAAACAACTACTCGCAGGACACTGCGTGCGGAGAGATCGATGCTTCCTTCTCTACACAGGCAGACCGACTGGTTTTTGCTGAGCTCCTCATTTCAAGATTTGGCCTCTGCCTCGCGACTGTAGGCACACTCATCCATTGTCAGCCTGGATCATCTTGCCTTTCTTGACTTGTACATCTCATCGCCAATGTAAGCGATCAGTTCTGATGTTGCACAAATGACGCTCACGGCGCTAGCCGCTAGCCCAACTAAGCTATCACTAAACATAGGCAGCCGCTGCCATAAGCCAGAAGCTCTAGACTTCAACCATGCCCCTAATTCTTGTCATGCAAGCCTGCAGCAGGCCTAAAATGTCAGTTAATCTACATTTTGGAACTTGAAGGCTTCGGACCTGTCGGACGAAGGGCCCTCCGATGGCGCAGCAGTTAGCTCGGCGGTGCGGGTCAAGCCTTGGCAGTACGTGGAGGCTAAGACCGTCAGAGAGTGTCACAGGTGTTGATTTGAGGGCGCGCATCGTTTGCATAGCACGCGAGAAGCGCACGGGAGGCGAGGCGGCAGCCTCGGCCCACCACGCCGCCTTCGCGACTTTCCACTGCACAGGCTCGTCTCTGGGCGTAATTTTGGAGCCGCTTCGCAGTGATTTGCGATCATCATCTTGGCCGTGAGGCTACAAGATTTGGCCCACTTGGATTGGCTTTCCGTTTCGTAGAGGGATGGAGTCTTTGCACGCAAGCTGCGCTGTGACTTGCGAAGGGTGATTTGCATGGCACAGCATCGCGTCCTATCCTTTCAGCTTTTCTGAGTTTAATTCAGCAGCATACAGCATATGTGAGCAT